CATTTAAGAGGAGCGCGCTGCCTGAATAAGTCTTTGGTAAATGTCAGCGAATGAGGTTCAGTGTTCAGACCTGAACTTTGTCTCACTTTACATAATAACATTATTGCTACGATTCAATAAACCGTCACTTCTATTAAGACGGTGTCCTGATTAGTTTTGTGAGCTGGTATCATCCTCAACATGATACGAACGCACAACCTGAGGAAAATGCAACGTTAGAAAGAGTAGAAAAGGTTTTCCCAGTGTTTCTTTTTTTGTCTCTCCAGATTTTGTTTTACTAAGAACACATGTGTCGAGCAAATGACTTACCTGACAATATATAACAAAGACAACGATGCTTTTCTCATGATTGAAACTGCGGTACGTGTGATAAGAATATCAATACCATAACAGGAACAGTTTAAAATGAGCACAAAATACGCGTCTGTACCAGAAGTGATCATAACTTTCTGAGCTTTTTACTATGAGCAGTGAATCAGTATACACTTTTAAAGTTTATCACAATATCTACTACATGCATCAGAATCAGGATCAGAATTATGTTTAGTAAAAATAAAATATGTTTAATAAAAAAAACTGTGGTACAGAAATTGATTGTCTGGCATTTACATCAGATTTGCACAGTAGATGCATCTGTGCAAACTTAACTACAGCTAAAGGTTAACTTGTAAATCAGATGCAGAGTTACTTACCAAAAGTGGTAATCCCAATGCCCGTTTTATCAAACAGCAGGAAGGCAACCATGAAAAGTGAGTCTGGGGCACACAGCACCGATTCAAATGCTACAAACTCCTGAAAGGAGATCAAGCTAGGAGAGAGAAGGACAGAGGGAAAGAGGATAAGTAGGTCTGTAACAGACGGTTAAATGCTGCCATTTGAGCTGATTCATTACTGTGGTACGTTGTGTTTCAGGTTCCCTGTATAAATACTTCATCGGCTACGCATGTGATCATTGAGTCTTTGATATTCAATTAGCCATGTAATACATAATAAAGACTTAAGTGTAAATTACACTAATGAAATGAAATATTAAATAAAATAATTAAAAAAAACAAGTGATTTTTACACAGCATTAAACTGTAGACACCGTCATAATTACTGCCACACAGTGGCAAACCAGCACACTTGGACAAGCTATCAATCTGCGCAACACGTAATTCAAGCAGCCTTTTATCCTTTTAGTCTGTTATTCCATATGTAATGTAATAAAATCATCGAGTGTGACAGCAAGAAAATAAAACATTTTTAAAAGCTCAGTGTGTGTTCCCGGTCTGCGCTGGCAGCTAACACTGAGAGGGCCAACTTTACACCACACAAAAAAGGCTTAAAATAGGACGTTTCACATGCAGAGTGTGCCATTTTAAACAAGCAGACAGGTGTGCAGGGGCTTGGGAGCCAGTTAAGGACATCAACATAAATTTAATATAAGATGAGGCCATTATGTGAAAGCCAACAGGAGCCATGGCGAAAAACGAGAAAATGAAGGGTGAACTTTGTTTGCCACAACACTATGAGACGAGCTGAAAGTCTAGTTTTCCTATTACAGCACTTCATCTCTTTGTCACTGCTTTCCTAGAAGCCTCAATAGAGGTACACACGTCCACATGTACCATCAGCAAGCAAAAAAATAAACACAAAAACACTGCCTATGTGTGAGCCCACTGAGAGCCCCCTCAGGAAAGTCCCACTGTGGAGAACTGGACCACGCAGTCTAGCCTTTATATAGGCCCTGGTTCACAGTTGCCCTAAGTCCATTATGAATTTCACAAATGGATCTGATAATTACAGGAAGGGTCAGCGTTAATGAGCAGTCCCCGAGCATCCATCTATTAAACCCATTTCAATTTCCGAGGGGGAGTGTGGCAAGGAAGGAGGGGGGGCAGTGATTGCATTTTCCTTGTTGTTGTAATTAATTATGTTACTGATGAAATTTAGAGGTGTTTGTTTGGCCTTTAGAGTTTAGGTTTCAGGCTTGTGTGCATTTATATATACACAAAGTATAGGTTTATAACCAGAAAAAGACTGCAGTATAGAAGACTGGAGGAGGAGGCGTCGACAGAAAGTAGTGCTTTAGGAACTTATTCTTAAACATGAATCCCAGAGATCTTTCATAAAGCAGCGCTTGGATAAAAGCTTTATAGTCTTTTGAATGCAGTCTTCAAAACTACTTTTTCTCCCTTCCAACATTCGTGAAAAACCCAACGAGGCAAAGCGGCAGCGACAAAAGACACAGATTAATACCTGCTTTCAATAAAAACCCAGAAATACATTTCGAAAGATAGCATCGATACATTTCGAGAAAGGCATTGTGTGTGTGCTGGAAAGGGAGCCGCTCAAGAACAAAGGGAAGTGTGGAGAGGGGATAAAAGTGAGCGTACAGTTTCTCCTCAGCGGCAACTGAAATCAGCTGTCATTGTTTCAAAGGCAAGGCTAATTGTTTTATTAACTAAGCAGGTAGTTCTTAAGAGCAGGCCCCCGCTGATGGTAAGTAGGTGGAAGGGGGCACAAAAGCTCACTGCAGAGTCCGGGGATCTACTGTTAAAAACAAGGCTAATACCCTCGCCGCTCACACTGCTGGAATACTCACAAACTCTCCAACACCTCGCCGATCCTGTGCGACACGTGCACAGCACACTCGCAGGTTAATAAAAGGAATTTAAGCAAGCACAGCCTCAAAGACTCACAGAGAATCGCTGTTTTGAGATGGAAACAAGGGAAAATGTCAGCTATGTGTTTTTGGAGTTCTTTTCACACGCATCAATTTGCATGCACGCTGGTCATCCCGTCTGTGTTTTCCCAGACATGGATAATCAGGATATTAGTGTAACCGAGAGGGCCGTTGATCAAGAAAGGGATTGGACCACGGGGGTGGAGAGGGGTCCAGACAAGATCCAGGGGGCATCTCCGTAAAGCGCACTGAAAAACATTCCACGTGCTCATAAGCATTTACACACAACTCTGCAGCCGGGGATGAAGCTTATGATGGTTGATTAGCAAGCGCCATGACGGCTGCAAAATGATTACCATGAGGGGAAAAAAAAGGGGGGGGGAGGGTTGCATCATTTTTTGCTATGCAGACTCAAACCCTGACGAGACCGCTCAATAATCAAATCAACCAACAGCATCTACCAACCATCAACTGCTATGGCATGTGTCCAGGGCTGCCCCATCCATGTTTGCAGGCTGGGATGAACCGCGGAAGACGGGGCTAATGTGATACTCCTCATTTGCTTACTTTACTCCATGGGATTTGTTAAATCCTTTAAACAGCAATATTTATGGGATGTATTACATGACAAAGGCTTGCATGTGTTTCTATGGATGACAGCTGAATGACACTTTTGTCATGATGCCAATTCAATGCAGTTTAAACTGTCTCCGATATGCCTGTCTGACATTACAACTATATTCCACATATATATGTTTATCTCATCTTCATCACCCAGCTTTTACTTCTGTCTTCTCTCAGCAGGCATTTAAATACACAAAAAATATACAAAAAAAACCCAGGCTTGGAAATACTGTTTACAAGTAACATAAATGCATGGTGTTGCTGTGGCCCGGCTGATAGAAAGACAGCTCTCCTTCGTTGATAGTAGTGGGGGAGAGGGGCCTAGAGGGGCTTCAATAATCCCCTGTCCGTGGCATCTTGGCGCTGTTACTGACAGCCTTCCACCCACCTAGAGAACACTTGCACACAGACACACCCCAAAAACCCCACATACACACACACACACGCAGGTGAGCGGTATGTGTTCGGCTTCTAGGAGTGGACACCCACCAGTCCAAGTCCAGAATGCTCGCAGCCTCTGGAAGACTGCTATTTTCCCAGCACGCTCCCTTAACAAAGTTTTTTCTTTTTTTTTTTCCAAACCTCCAAGAGTCTATGGGTGGAAGTGTTTTTTTTTTTCACACTTGAACAGATGCTTCTATCAAAATATCAGGGGGAAGAAGGAACGGATAGAAAGGTAGGGAGTCGGAAAGAGGCGAATGAAATAGAGGGAGCTCAGAGTGCACTGTAGTATGTGAGTGCAAAGAGAGAGTGATGATCAGATAGGAGGAATGTGCGAAAAGTCAAACAAGAAAAAGAGAGGACATAAATAAGTTGACTGAAAGAGAAAAATCTTTAAACCGTCTTCTAGGCCTGTATGTCAGGTCCCTGGAAATTGAGGCATCTCCACCCTCAAAGCCCTGTTTCTGTTTCGCTCTCTCTTGATCTATCTATCTATCTATCTATCTATCTATCTATCTATCTATCTATCTATCTATCTGTCTCTCTGTCTCACGGGGACGGCGAGAATAAGAGGGAGAAAAGTGATTTCCACATAACAGATTGTTAGGACTGTCACTATATCCCCTGATTTACACAGTCACAGAGAGGGAGACAGACAAATGTATTTTCACTGTTTACATTGCTTCCCCCCCCCCATTCCACAAACATTGAGCCACTCAGATACACACTCACACACACATTGTGTAAGAAAAATTTCTCTCGCACAACACAAAAGTAAGCGAGCGTGCCACCTCCCATCCGACCCCCTGCTAAATCTATTATCCCCACACTCATCTTGCTGAAATGGAGTCCTACCTGGCAAAAACAGCAGCAGGCGCACTAGCTGCAAATACGCTGCACCTCATATACCGACCGAAACGTATTGTTCGCGAGTGTATTTGCATGAGATCGGGCATGCTGGATGAAAATCCAGCCGCTAAAGTGGCTTGTTTTGTCTTGCTCCTTGTTCTTTTCTGGAGCTTTGCACGGCTGAGTGCTTAAAAAGAGAAAACAAAAAAACTACGCAATTCTGTTTTCATGCTACAGGCGACGGCCCTGAGGCTGTCGCATCTCTACTTATTGTGTTTCTTCTGTGTTTGTGAGGTCTGCAGAATAATCATCTGGTCTCTTTTGCCTCATCAACTCGTTTGTCTGTTAAAGTTCAGGAAGAAAATAACACATCACAATGCACAGGCCTGTACAGCGACTATACGAAAAGAAAGTGAATCGCATCTAAACTAAGTCTAAACAATATTTGGAAGAAAAAAAAAGATTTTTTTTCTTTTAAAAATGACTCTTTTTCCTGTTTTGCCCCCATATCATTTCCATTCTCTTCCACAAAACCAAAATGAGGTTTAGATACAAAGCCTGGGCCATGGGTTCCTAATAGATTTACCCTGATGCCACGGCCACCATTTATCCTGCTCCAAAGCCGCACAATGCAACTGAGTGCTCCTGAATAGCATGGGCAATTACAGTGCATGTGTGATTTTTTTTCTCTCTCTCTCTGTGTATGTGTGTGCGTGCGTGCGTGCATGTGTGTGAGAGAGAGCATGCACGTTGCTCTCTCTTTTTCCAATTCCAAAAACCCCCACTACTCACATCTCACTGTCCTCTGTAAGTGCAGACACACACACACACACATACACACACACACCTTAAAGCAGATGTAATAACATGAAACTACACAGCCATGTGCACTTTGCTCTTTGTAGAAGCCCAGGTGGTTACCATGGCAATGTGGGCCTTTTTTTAAAATCTTTTTTGACTTACCCTAACATTTTATTACCCATCATTATGTATCATTAAATACATACATATTAATGTAAAAAACAGGGGTGATGGGGATGGGAGGGGGGAGGCGTAAGTGTGAAATTAGGGGTGTATCTACAAAAAAGCCAACACCTGACAGGGGCCTTGGTGGTTTTGATGTCTCATTGCTATATAATTCATGTATGAACGTCCCCCTGTGCATTTCTTACACCAAAGGATTAAGTCATAGGTTTGTTTATAAAATGCAAAGTAACACTAGGAGGCTAGTCACACAAGATCAAAGGGATACATAATCCATGTACTAATAGCTTTAATAAGAGTCTATCATGAGCTTACCTCCTAGCAGGTGGCTTAATATTAATAAGGCTGAATACATTTGTGGTTCAAATAGGAAGTTCAGCCCGAAATCAAATGTGCATATGTTCCTGCAGCCTGAAGGGCAATTCATCTATCTAGTCTGTTTAGTTGTGGGATTAAATATAATGAACCTAAATGGCACTTGCAAAATAAACGAATAAATCAAATGAAATCATTAAAAACATGCAGCAGCAATGTGTCTTTTCCCGAAATAATAACCAGGTTGATCAAAAAAATGCAAAACTTGGCTGTGAGCAAGAACTATTTTCTTTCTCCAGTCTTGATCCACCAACCAAAAGAAACGTGCATCTAGCCAATGTCTGATTTAGGCTTCTGTGTTGAATCTATGCAACACCTACAACACAGCCTACGCAAGTGGTCAACGCAGTTGCCAACACACTATTTCGTGAGGAGTTTCTCACTTCAGTTTCATTCTCTTCCAGCTAGTTCAAAACATGGCAGTAAGAGGAGCTGGAAATGCACAGGAGGAATCAATGGTACCAAACAGGCCTATCAGAGTCGCTGAGGCCTGCATTAACATGACGTGTAGCTACATTTCTAAGATTGTGCATGTAGGGCTTTAGAAAAGTTTGTGGTCATGACGTACCTATGGCATAAACTTAACACAGATGTATTAATCCACTGTTATTCTACAGAGTGATATCGATGACATGTTGTGGTTAAGCAGAATAAAAGTAGTTCTTCCATGCTTTGAACACCACGAGCAAAGTGATATTTAGTTCTAATATATTCAAGAGAAAACAGACTTCCTATTTTTGATATCATCAAAACTAGCTACCCCAAAAAGAGTCTAGACCAGGGGTCCCCAATCCCAGTCCACGAGGGCCGGTGTCCCTGCAGGTTTTAGATGTGTCCTTGATCCATCACAGCTGATTTAAATGGATAAATTACCTCCTCAACATGTCTTGAAGTTCTCCAGAGGCCTGGTAATGAACTAATCATGTGATTCAGGTGTGCTGACCCAGGGTGTCAAACATAAGGTCCAGAAGCCAGAATCAACCTGGCAAAGACTCCAGTCTGGCCCACTAGATAGATTTGGCAAATAAGAAGGGCATACATTTTGGACTTTTATTTGTATTTTAATAGGCTTTGCTGCTTCTCTCTCCTATTAATGAAATTGAAATTACATATTTTTCTTATATTGAAACATCTCAGTCAAATGTGTAGTTAAACTTCTGGTGACTTCTAAGATCAAAGTAGAGTATATGTGGCCCATCATATAATCTCTGGTTTAGAGCCCTTAAGCAAGATAAAAATATCCACAAAAATATCTACCCTCCTAGAATTGTCTACAAAACCCTACATATGTGAAATTTTCATTGCCTAAAAGATAAATGGTACACTGACCCATCTTTCTTCTGGTCCACCACTCCAGCCAGCAGATTTGTGGCCTCATTGGTCAGCAGAATGTCCGTGTGAGCATGGAGGAAACGGCTCACGAAGTCCTGCGCCGACATGAAGTATTCCTCATTCTTCTTGACGCTGGCATACTGTAAAACAGAACATTTTTTTTATAAAAAATAAAGACACAAGGCTGAGCTTTAGAAATTCATTAAAAAAAAGAAAAGAAACCTAAATCAAAAGATGGGAGAAAACCTTCTTTGAAACTAGGCAAACTCAAAAAAGAGAACAAAACATATAAGTCAAATCCCACCTTTTCAAAAATGGCTTTCAACTCAGTGGGGTCGGCCCTCCTAGGCAGAACTGCCTGCAAAATGATGAGAGAATGTTTTGTGAATAGACATACCAAACCTATATCATCATCTGAGCCGGTCCTGGTGAGCCACATTGTAGAACAATGTTTTTTTTCTTTTTGGCTACTGGCTTGTAAACAAAGCTTTGTCTGTCTGCAACCACCTCTTACACACTGGAATGCTTTTAATCACATACCTGTGATCACATATTGTACAGTCAATGTTTCTTAATTAGCTTTTTATGTTATTTTTATTGTTTTAGACAATATTTCTTAGGGCAAGGATGTCAAACTCATTTTACATGGTGGGCCACTTTGATCTTAAGTGGGCCGGAGCAGTGAAACTCCCCTTTCACTCAGTGTAAAGAAGTTTAACTACACATTTAGCTGTGAAGTCTTAATATAAGAAAAATACTTCATTTCAACAGTATTTCTTAGTTTTTCTAGGGGATAAAGAAATACTGCTGTGAGAAATGAAAGAAATGTGTCAGCGTGACTTAAATTGTAACAACTGAATTTGTAAAATTACAGAAAAATGAAAAGTGATATAAAAAAATATCAGACTGTTTTTTAGTGTAGACGATTGTAAAATAAATAAATAAATAAATCTACAGTAAAAAACAGGCAATTTTCTGTCATTTAATTCTATATCTATTACTTATGTACGGTGGTGTAGTATGATTATCCAGAGGTAAAGTTTTCATAAGTAAGAGAAGCAGCAAAACTTAATAAAATACAAATAAAAGTCCAAAATCTGTGCCTTTCTTCTGATTTGCCAAAGCTGTCTAGTGGGCCAGATTGGAGTCTTTGCCGGGCTGATTCTGGCCTCTGGACCTTATGTTTGACACCCCTGTCTAAAGGGAATGAATTATATATGTTGTCTATAGGTTTCTACATTTAGTTAAAGCCTCTGGAAAAAGTTTGTGAAACCTTTAGAAGAAACGTCAGTACCTCCCGTCTCAGATAAGAGCTGTAGGTGATGATGATGGTGTCAAAAAACATGTTAGAAGTTTCCTCCGCTCTGCGGGAACTTCTGCACCCGGTGGGGCGTTCATAACAGAAACGCCACAACTTGTAGCATGATGCTATCCAAGGTTACCGGTGACTACAACCGACTTTTTATTAAGTAAGGTGGAGAAGAGGCCAGGGAGGAACAAGGTGGAGTTAGAAAAAGGAAAGGAAAAAAAGGAGTGAAGGAAGCGATAGCATCATTGCTGCATTTTACATCACTGTGGAAACACCACTTCATTCAGCTTATAATAAAAAATGCTGCAAGCCAAATATTCACCAACTAGCTAACCGGGACCAGTAAAGTCTCAATGTCATTACCGTGTGGTCAGTGTTAAACTCTAGCACATCCTATTAGCTGGCTAACCGGCAGTTAGCGAGCCCTCCTCCGGGCAAACGTCATGACAGGCGGAGGGCTTCGGGCCGCACACCCCCTGCACCGGGCACACATCACCGACAAGGCGACAGCTCCTGCCAGCAACACGGGGAGGTGACGTGGGGAAAACTCAGCAGCTGCTTACCTTTGTTGCCATGCTAAAGCGAGCTCACTGTCAGATAGTCCTGATCACTTCCTCCTGCGTGACGGCGTTCCCATGGAGATTACGCGCCGGTGCAGTGCCAAAGGAAGGTGAAAGAGGATCAACCGCGCACGTGGTGCGGGCCATGGAAGGTCGGGTTGTTTTTTTGTTTTTTCAAATTGTATTTGTTTTATTTTTTATTTTATGCATTTACAGAGAGAAAGTTCTCTTGTTGGTACTGTGTCTTGTATTAATCTATTACACACTCCCAAGATCCATAGGATGCATAAGGCATAGGATGGCGCACAAGGCCCTGATAATATGTGCATGTACTTTGGATAGCTAAGGAGTCTAAATATTTGTTTTGCCACTTTGCAAAGAAGACATTCACTATAAAATCAGTTTAGGCTTTGTCCCAGACACTAAGGTGTCACGCGCTAAGCTCATTTTAAAGTTACAACTCAAAATAATCATCCATTCCTTTATAATCCTTATCCAATAAAACTTAACACACTTATTTTGACCTTTTGGCTCATATACAAACATGCATACGTACACTCACTATCAGAATTTGTTTGCCACCAGCATAGCTGTATGTAAAGAAATAGTCACATCATCATAAGTATATTGTGATGATTTCTTGTCATTTTTCTGTAAAACACATTGGAAAACTTGGAAAAGCTTTAATAGGAAACATAATCATGTTTGTGTGGGCTTATTCTTACACGTGCCAACTATCTATTGTACTGAGCAACAGAGACCTGTAGACATCAGTGTGAAAGCTTCAGTTCCTTCCTCCAGCCTTTTCTTTCCTTGCAGCAAATGGTTCCTATACTTTATATCCAGCTTTTCTAGCCCATCTGTGTCTTGTGCCAGGAGGGAAAAGGTACAGAGAGAATTTCATGACTACAAAAGCAAAGGTTAACATTACTCACAGCATAAAAACAATTTAAAAGGGAGCAAAAGGGCCCTAATGGCCCGACAGTCTTCAAAGAAAATGTATTTTGCGCTCAAAATAATTCATAGCTTTTTGCTGGTGGCTTTTCAGCTTCCCGGAGACCCAGCATGAACCACTGTATTTTTCCCAGCAGGCTCTCTGCTCCTCGCAAAATGGCCTTCACCAGGGCATACCTTGCATCCCCTCCAAATATTGACAGCACCGGGTCCATCGCTTATTGGAAAAATGGCTGTAAGTAATGTTTTATCAGCCGATGCAATCTCCACACCTGTATTTTCTCCTGTCATATGACAATATTTGACAAGATTAATGATTTGATCCAGTGACTTATTTCCCATCACTGTCAGTCTGCTGCAAACAACTCGCTTGCTTGTGGCATTTAGTAAAAAAAAGCATGTAGTAGCATTTTCATTTGTATTATTCATGAACTTGTATGAGATGTGCAAACTAGTGTGTAGCAGCTTAGACATGAAACTCGTGATTTTTTTAACAAGGTAATTCCTTTAAAAAAAAAATCCCACTGGGCGAAATTACTTTGCTTGTCAAGCCTTGTAGAAAGGAAACCAACAATGATTGTGCCAACCACCAAAAAAGCAAGCGGGTTAAAAATAAACCTTGCAACCTTTGAACTTCCACGGCTTGAGGGGTCTCCTGCCCACGTCCCCGAGGACCCACGTGTCCTGACAGCTTGAGCGATGAGTGGCGGACGGCTGTCTCAATCCGCCTCCTCCTATTTTTAACCCACACTAAACACAGAGCTTCGAAAATAGGCTCGAGCTCTAAACAAATGATTAATAGGGCATTTAGGGTCTCCCCACTGACCCGTGTGTCCCTATTAACAGCCAATAACACAGGCCCTTTGGGGTCAAAAGGTTTAAAGACTTTCTAATAAAAGTAGCAGAGACATGGGGATGTGTTTTGGAGGAGAAAAAGTTTTGTCTCAGTTTGAAATGCTGACAAGTTAATAATCCCTTCTCAAATGGCCCCACCGCAGTAAAATGGCCAGTTTGTTCTTACTTTTTATTGCTATCATCTGTCAGTCACTCACATCTTTTTTTCTGCCTCTTCTTAAGTGGACTGAAAGAGCTAAAACAGCTTTACAGTAATGTTCTTGCTGGGGCTTTATTCTCCTTCCCCACTCTTTCTTTTCTTTTTTGGATGAATGTGAATTCTTATTGTAGTTTTAGGAAGGAAATGCCTAATGGATTCCCAAAGACGTATTCATGACATGGTAATGAGATTCAAATTTGTAAGACGTTTTTACCTGAAAAAAAAGAGGAGTGTGGTTGTGGCAGTGGCTTTGTCCTGTTTTCCACAGCTAAAGAATGCAATTTTTCTGTCACTCTCACTATTCCTAATGCCATTTTGAAATGTATGTGATGAAGATACAAAACCAAAGAGAGCTTAAAAGTGGAAACATCACAGTAATGCACTGATGTGTCGCTTGTCATAACTGGGTTTCCTAGGGTTGATGTAGAGCACGGGTCAGTGGTAAGTTATATCCTGAAAATGTAATGCTTCAAATTGTTATCATTGTACTCGTATATTTTTATCAGTAATGAAAATATACGAGCAGAAGAAGAATATAAGAAATGTTTCTGGCAGGTAGATGTTCCAGTGTGAAAGAGATATTTTACAGGGTTTTACAACCTCAGAAAATTATTTCTTCATGTAAAAAATATCAGAGTACTGTGCTGTATAATATGGATAGCTTTTGGTTGCCATTGTATTTTTACTCTTTTTATACTACTGTAGTTTATTTCCAAATTAATTAGGTTATTTGCTCTATTTACTTTAAACTGTATTCAAATGCTGTACCTCTGTGTCTGTAAAAGCACAATTCCCTGAGCTGAGTCTAAATCTGGATGTCCTAACCTATTTTTTCTGGATTCAGTTTCTTCTCTTTCTTTAACTGTGACCAGATATCAGCTCTTATAAGTAAATACGTTTATTTATATAGCGCTTTTCAGGAACAAAGGTTACAAAGTGCTTTATAATATAAAATAAGATAAAGCAATTAAAACATAATATAAGGAAGCCTTCAAAGGTGGATCTGAAGCTTTTTCTACTCCTTGTACTCCACTGTAGCAGTAATGGCGCTGTAGTCAACATTTTCAGCAACATCAGCTGTGGCCAGGTGTAATTAATTGCCACAGGGGTTTGGTCATGGTGGCCGGTTGCTAGCTAAACCGTCTGTGTGATGTGTTTTCACTATGGTAAACACGTCACAGAACCACAGCAATCCGTTTAAATAAAACATGTCTGAAATAACCAACACAATTCAGCTTAATTAATCATTTAAAACACTGAAATTTCCACAAGTCTTTGTCCTTGCCTGCACTGAATATTTTACATAATCTGTACAATCTCCTTGGAATGCAATACATTTTTACAGAAAAGTTTCATTTCTGTACAATTACTGTTATTCAGTACTGAATGAGATTTAATACAGCATTGTTTTGTGTGACTTAACTGAAAATGAGTATACTGTAATCTTTTTTCTACATAATTGTACAAGGTTTTCTGCTATGCCGGGGGAGTTTGTTACACACTGTACACCTAATGCATCCAATATCAGTGAACTGAAAATATTTGATGCCATAAAAAACGGGTTGAAAATTAGCCATAGGTTAATGTTGCTAAATCTAAATAAGTTCTTTCTTAATAGTAATAGAGGAGAAGAAAAGTGTTGGTACAGTGAACTAATGCTAATGTAATGTGCTCATGTTTATGTGTTGCATTTTATTTTTTTATTTTTCTTTTCGCTAAACCTCCATCCATTATTTTATTCTACTTATTACCTCATTATACTGACATGTGTGTTTGTGTATCTGGTAATCCAAAAAAAAAAGCAATTTAAAACATATTAGTAAGTCACAACATTACCTCACCACCAGAGAAGATCCTGAATACATCCAGAGATGCACAGAGATGTTATCTATAGTATTTTCGCATGATTTGTTTGTTTTTTTTAATTCATTGGGGAAGGTATAAAGGTAAAAGAGTACCACTGTTACACATTAGTACAAAGGTAGAACATGTCTCTGATACTGCAAAGTGAAAATGTTGTTAATATAAAGGCTGGATTGAAAATGTCGGAAAGTCAAACAGGAAATATGGTTTTGTCTGTCTGTTTGTTTTTTAATGAGTTACTTTATCGATGAGGGACAGAAAGAAGAGCCCTTCAGGCTCATGTTGTAACACACCAAACCACTTTTTAAATGTACAGATGATTTTAATTAAAATTTTTAAATTTTGGCAAATTCATGTTGGCAAAATCTGATTGCATATTGATAACTGTGTATCCCTGACCTAACTTAAATCTTAATTCTTCCAATATAATAGTTTCTAAAATGGTTTCAGTTGATATTCTCAGTTTATCTTGCTCAAGGACACAACAGCACAATGGCTGCAAAACCTGTAACCACTTGATAATAACCGCCGCACTTCCGCTATAATTGTTTCCCCTGAGAACCAAAAAGATGCCAGAGTCTTTTCTTTTGTGCTCAATATTTGCAAAAATACAAACTCGGATATGAAACAAATTGCTCTGTGGAGGGGAAAAAAACATGCAAACTGGGAATGAGTATCGCAAGCCACAGAGCAGACTGTGCTCGCGTACTGTGACATGACTCAGTCAAATCTGTTTTACATAAAGGACAAGAGAGTGGTGAGGGGAAAAAATAGTGGAGCCATTCCTAGGAAATAAGCCACAGTTTAATATGTTTTACATACAAGACAGAAAATGTGTTTTGTAGGTTTATCTTCACTGTCACTTCCATAAAAAAGTGCTAATACATAGAACAGCAAATGCATCCTTTGTTTATCAATCATATAGGGCCTATTAGCAAAATAATAGACTCTGTGCATACTCTGCTGCTGGACTAACAACAAAAACAGTTTGTCTTATAATCTACTTACTTTACACCAATCAGGTTGTCAAAGACTATTCTTAATCATCATACATAACATGCGCTGCATTAAAGTGGCATTCTTGTAAACACCATATCTGTAATAGTGTGTGACAAGCCGCCTTTGTTTACACCATAATAACTGGGTGTTTGAATAACTTCTCAGTGACTTTAAGTAACCAGCCAGACTCACTCTGCTTCCATTCAGCTGTGCAGGC